TCTCTCTCGCAGAGGTCTTTCTCTCTTGAATGAAGGAAAACTTGCGGCCTTGCGAGCAATAACTTTAAAAGAAAGACACAACTTGGGGCTTAAATTGTTTGTCATCAAATTATGTGCAAGTCGATTGTTGTTGCTGATGCTCTGGGCTGTGGTCACTGGGCTCGGGATTTTTTCGTTTCGGCCAAAAAAAAACCATAACCAAAACTGAAAGAAAAATGTGGCAAGAACTACCGTTGACACTGCAATGTATGAATACTCTTTCTATAGCATAGTAAAAATATATTTTAAGCTAAAAATCGCTTTATCAAGCTGTTGCCCAATAAATATATAAGGAAATATTCTTGAATATTTGTTGAATTAAATACGAATCATTTTCCAACCTTTTTTTATAGGTTTAGATTATTTTTTTTGTTCATATATTTTTTAAACAATTTTTTTAAAATACTTTTTTTATTTTTTATATTTTTTATATTTTTTTTTTTTTTTTTTTTTTTGTCATTTATTTGAATTTTATTTATTTATTTTTTTTTGTGATATTTGAATTTTATTTATAATTGTTATTATTATTATTTATTTTACTTATTTTTTATTTTATTTTTATTATTCTGTCCATCTTGTTTTCTTTCACGCATTTTTTATCCTTCTCAATTATCCATAAAAAAAAGAAGCTTCCCAAAAGTATATCCTTCAGATACGTATTTTGAAAACTAAAGATATATATGGTTAAAATATACTTCCTCAAATTGGAAATATTTGTCTTTCTGTTTTGCAAACATCTTTTAAATTTTACAATACCCTTCCAGAATATAGATACAAAATTTTAAGGAAAGGGAAACAACAAATGGGCATCATTAAAATGCTGTTACCGAAACGCCGGAACCTTTGGACTCTTGGGCAGTGGGCAGTGGGCAATGGGCAATGGGCAATGGGCAGTTGGATCCTGGGTCTTGACCCCCGAAACCACTTCGAGATTCGGGAGGCTTCTGTGCTTCTGTGTCGACAGAGGGCAACCGCAGCCAAGATTGCTCAGGCATATACCCTTTTTTAATTTGCAACATGTCATTGGCAGAAAGACAAGCAAAAGGGACGCGTGGCGTGGTGCAAAAACGTGGAGTGGTGCCCCATGAAGCATGCCCAGAGTTTTGGTTCCTGCCAGAGGAGGCTCCGCAGCCACAGCCACAGCCGCCTGCCTGCGACTGGGCCTCGGCTTCGGCCTTCGCCCGCCAGTCAGTGCACGCTTTGTTGCGCCTTTTGTTGGGCTTTCTCTGTGTTCTCTGCTTTCTTCTGTGTTCCTCCTTTTTTGGCCGCTTTACCCGAATAACCCAAGCAAAAACAGAATTAGCAGCAGAAGTGGAGGCAGGAGCGATGACGACGACGACAGGACATCGAAGGGGAGAGGGAATACAAGATGAGAAGCAGGCAAAACAGGACACAGCCGAAATATCCAGCGAGGGGAAGTTCTAGAAGTTATTGAAGAATATTCAGTGCAAACAATTTCTATTTAGACCAAAAAGAAGTTCAATAATTGGTATATACTCAATTTTAAATGCTTAAAAATTCATTGGAAGAATGAATATAATCATTTATGAAAGGGATTTGAAATATTTACATTCGGATTCTGAGAAAAATGGCACAGTAAAAAGAAATACACCTATCTAAGGATTAAAATTGTAAATATTTATTTTAAATACGAAAGTCGTAAAATTAAATGGATTTTTCTTTTATTTAAATAATAATAATATTTAATTCACAAATATAAAACACTTTAAAAATATATATGTATTATATTAAATTTATAGGAAATATATTGAATTGAAATATAATAAAATAGTTAATTAAAATATGAAATGTATTTATTTTATTTTTCATTTTAATTTGATTATTGTTTATTATTACTATTTTTATTATTATTATTTATTTTATTTATTTATTATTGCTATTTTATATATTTTATTTTAAATATGAATTATATTTAGATCAAATATTTTCATATTAATGTCAAAATTTAAGTGAAAACAGTTAAATTTTAATAATTCCAGTCTTCACTCAAAATATAATATAATATAAATATTAAAAGTGCAGTGCTTTTTTCTCTAAATGTCCTAAATATAATTTTGTTGTAAAAGAGCATAATATTAAAACTAAACGCAGAAATACACCTAGAGTGTATAATATCTAATATTATTTTTATAAACATATAAATTTAAACATGCTTTATGCAATTTTTTTCTGTACATATTCAAACATTAATTTATTAATTTTGGATACAAAATTTGATAGTAGAGGGCAAAATGGTCTTAATTTAATTAATGTAATTCACTTTTAATTCGTTAATAAACGTAATTAGTAGATCCTTTTATTTAGCTCTATATTTTTTATTTAGACATTAAAAATTTGCAAATGAACCTCACGATCAACCCTCTAGTATGGTCACCGCAAAAACATATACAATGTGATAGACGATGGGAAATGACCAAAAAAAAAAAGAGAGAAGAAGAAAAAAAAAAGAAGGAGGAAACAGAAAAAATAAAAGGTAGGTGGAAAAGCAGAAATACACCAGAGAGTAGAAGAAGGGAAGGCGGTGGGTGGTGGGTGGTGGGGATGCCAGATAGGAGTAGAATGTCATACAAATGACCCATATTAAATTTATTACGGCAACGGGAGGCAGCACAATGAAATCCAATAGCCAGGGGATAAAAAGAGAGAGCGAGTAGCAGGGGGGTGGGGGGGAGAGCGAGTGGGTGGGGGTAGAGTAGTGGGTGTGGAAGCTAATGGCAAACAAAACAAATCACCGACGCCTAAACCGACAGACATATACATATATAATACATAATGCTACTATATATAGGAAATTGTTCTGCTTTTTCCAAAGAGGGGGGATGCCGAAAAGAGAAAAATCAGCTTAAAGTCGATTTTGTGGGTAAACTTTTTCCGTCTTGTTTTACATGTTTTTTGTTTTCCCAACGTCTCTGGCATTATTGTACTTGTCGTTACTTTTTGGTCGGTCGTTTGGGTACCCAAATTGATTTATAATCCTGTGCCTGTCTCGAATTTCGCCCCCTTTTTTCCCCCGTTGTTGTAGAAAGTTTTGTCTTTGCAGCGTTTGCCTGTTCGGATTTTAATGAAATATTTCAATTACTTTTCCATTAATTGGTAAAACCTTTTCCACTGCATAATCGAGAGGTGTCGCGTCGCATCACAGCATTGCGCTGAGTCGTGTCGAATTTTCCTTTTGTCAACCGGTGTGCGCCACCGACGACATGTGGCACGAAGCCCATTATCCTTGCAGCTAATTAAGAAACGTGAGACAAATGACAAGCGCAGAAATATTGTACGACAACAAGTATATTATTTTGTTGTGCCACTGCCACTGCCACAGCCACAGCCACAACCTCAAGCGAAAGAGACAAAGAGAGAAACAGAGAAACAGAGACTGACGTGTGCGAGTGCAAATAAAACTATGAGACGACTACGCGTACAATAAATTGAGAGGATATTGAGGGAGACGGATGTTCAGTGATCGTCGAGAAGGATACTCTGCATATACAAAAAATATCAAAGAACTAAAAGTAATATTTATATATTATGTAAGAGAACATTTAAATACAACTAACCAATATTATTGGGTGCCTAAAATTAAAATATAAATATATCAGTAAAATCATTTTATTTTCAAATTTTAAGCCCCACGGGCCTGTTAAGGGTTAATCAACATCAACACATGCCGTCTTACTCACACTGACTATACTATGTGCCTTTCACTCGCACTTATTGCTAGCATACGTTAAGGGGTAGCTTTTTACCGACGAGACCACCTTGCAAAATTCCATCTTGCATAATGCTATGTCCTACGATATCTCTCGTCGTGGTCCCGATATTTTACTCATATCGGCGCGAGCGAACAAGGCGAGTGGGCCGGGGGTTGGCTCGCGAGCGACTACCTCATAGTAATATCATATATTTCTTTAACCACTACAGCCCTAGGTGCAACAGTACACGCACTCGATATAGAGCTAAAAAAAATGAGGAGAACTATTCAATCGTGAAAATTAAGTAACCAGAAAGTTCTGCTCTTCCCCGTAAATGTTCTGGAAAAAATAACCTATTATGGAAGCATCGTGGAAGCAGGAAGCCGACAGACTATTCCTTACCTCATGGACTTATCGTTTTTTTTTTTTGTATCTCTTTGTAGTTTTATATTCATATATTCATGATATTCATAGTTAAAATGTGTATATTCTGTTACATTAAATTGTTAAAAAAGTTGCACATAATTTTAAGAGCGAAAATTCTACACATACAAAGCAAACCTATAGCAAAATGCAATCAAATCAAAAGAAATCAAGCGAAATTTATAGTTTCTCCCAACGCTGATGGGAAATTGTATGTTGGCAACTCTGTTCAAGGCCTCGGCAAAATGCAAGTCATCGTATAGTGTTAGAAAACTGAGCCAGGCTTGGCCTACTTAAACGATGCAGCAAGAGGAGCCGTATCGATGTCCTGAAAAGTTGTAATACTAATTTAATTTTCAATGCAGCCTGTACTTTGCAATAATGTCGGAAATAGTGTGACACGTGACACGGAGACATGCTGAGGGACTGCTGCTGTCTTAAAATCAATTTAGCTGTCATTTACATACATTTTTCAATTGTTGGAACCCTTTCCCGAATGTGGAAAGTAGGCAGAAGGCACAAACCATAGAGCGCAGGACATTTTCTTCTATCTGATTAAAGTCCCAACTTAATTAAATCAACTCCATTACGATCTATTACAGATTTGCAACAGCTTTGACTAGGTGGACACCCTTTAGGCTGGCAACCCTCTTGATTTAGTGGAAACCCTGTTTTTTGATGGCCCTGTGTCAGGATGAAAATTGTGTGTCAAAGTGAAAATTTTTCATAAGTCGTTTTAGCAAATAGGGATTTATTCAGACGTATATTTTCCTGTGCACCACCCAGAAATTCCCAATACCCGATTGAAAAGAAAAAAAAAGGAAAAACACATCGAATAAGAGTCAGATACACACACAAACACAGAAGCAACAGCACGGCACTAGAAAATAAGTAAGTACATGTCTCCGGCAAAAACATACTCGAACGTATATCCAAAAAGCTCTTCGGGGCTTAAGACAGACGCAAGAAATTTATTAATTATCAATCCTCGAGGTCCGAGGTCGAGGTGGCAGAACCTTCCTCCTGTGGAGCTCCTGCGACGGCTCTCAATCCATACAAACACCCACAGACAATCACAGCAAAGTCCTGATTGGCATTTAAAGCTCTTTAGGAGAGAGACAGAGAGAGAGAGAGGGATAGAGAGAGCTCTTCAAGACGGAGGCTATGGGCTATGAGGATGGGGGCGTACTAGCTGAAGAGGCTGACAGCAAAAATCGAAGTAGAGTGGCTACAGTGAGCCTCAGCTGAGCTGCTTAACGCTGCCAGAGTTCTGACATAATCCATGCAATTGTAAATTTAATAAGGGTTTCCCTGGAAAGGGGCATCCGCTCCGCTCAGAGATTTGTTTGGGGATTGACCCCCCCTCAAGACAGTGAGTAGTCAAGGCAATTAAGCGTACGAAGTGGCTCTGGCTCTGGCTCTGGCTCTGGCTCTCCGGTTCTGCCCTGCTTCTGAGCTTTAAGAAAATGAGCAAAGAAAACTTTCAAGTGTTCAAGTGTGTAGTTCGAGTGGCGGCCAGGCAAGGGGCATCCTCCACTGCTCTGGTCTGAAGGTCAGGCAAAAGGTTGCCAAGCCATTCATAGGGATTCTGCTTACACTGAAACAAATTAAAGCAGGCTAGAGATTAGCAAGAAAAGAGAAAAAAAAACCCCCCATCTAGTGGTCTTACAATTTCCCATCATATTTTCAGCAAATCATTTGAACAAAAGCCAGAAGCCTGCAAGTATAAGCCCCATTTTTAAACAATATTTAATCTAAATTATTTTATTCTTAGGTTTTGCAAGACCTTCCATTACAAAAGGACACTCTTGAGTCTCTGATTAAGTACCCTCTCATATTTTGGTAAATAAGTGAAATATTTGATATGTTTTTCAATCGAAATGAAAATCCTTTTTTCTAGAATAGCAAATAATCAGAATGGACCCGCAATTTTTCTCTCCGCTCTGTGATTTGTCACGGCAAATGGGTTTGATCTCGCAGAATCAATTGAATATTATTTACGATCATCTGGCAATCTTTGAGCTCCTCGACAACGACTTGAAGTCGTCGCAGAACTATGGTGACTGGATACTCTCGAATATGGATATTTGCTGGCGTGGACGATTGATTGAGACACTCTTTTTCTATTTGGAGGCAAATGCTTGCCAGCGGGATCCCGATAATGCTGTGAAAGCGCTGCGAGTCCTTTATCATGTGACCACATATTGCACTGAAATCAAAATGCAGCACATTTCGATGTTCTCAAATCTGTTCGTCGTTCTGAAGGTCGTACTGGAGCTCACTCAGGTGCTGGACACAATAGTGGATTGCACCCTGGACTTGGTTAGCAATTTTTTGTTTTCCTCCTGGATGATACGCGATGCCATCGAGTCCTCTGGGCTGCTCAGTGCCATGCTGAATAAACTAGACTGGCCTCCTGGAACGGATGTGGTGAAGCAAAACTCGCTGATCGCCAAGATTGGGCTGCTGTTGTATCAATTCCTCAGGCACAAGACACCCGGACCAGCAATCACTGCTCTGGAGAAGATAGCCAAGACCTTGGCCGCTCTTCTGTCGGTCAATCAGGACTTGACTATCCTTATGCCGTTGCTAAAACTCACACGCCTAGTCGCCGAGCACCAGTCGGCCACTGAACGGGTGATGATCAAGACGGGCCTGTTTGCCAACACCGCATCGTTAGTCCAAAGTCCTCTGTACGAGGTCAAGTATGAGGCCATCTTCATTTTGGCCAACACATGCCAGCTGTACGGCAGAGTGAAGCGACACAACCTGTACCGACTTCCGCCAAGCACTCTGCGATACATTCATCACTTGTTCCTGCATCGATGCATGAAGATACGTATCATGGCCTTGCACCTGCTCACCGGCATTACGGATAATCGTGCCATAGACCCGAGCCTAATGTGTGGCATTATGCCGATGGTCATTCGGTGTGCCAGCGAGCTGGAGCTTGAGGTGGAGGTTCGTGTGGCCGCTGGCTGGACCCTGGCCAGCCTTACCCTCCACTTGAACGTGAGAGGCATGGCTTACTTTATGCACTCTGGCGGGGTCCATGCCATGTGCTACCTGCTGAAAACAGTCCAAGAACTCCCGATACAATTAATCAGAAACATCCTTACTGCTTTTATAAAAATATGGGAATCATATAGATACCTGGCCAGTCATCTAGTGAATATCCTGAGAGAGTGTGGCATTATGGATGGGCTGCAACAGTACATGGACAGCCCAAATCATGCCGTCAGGACTCTGGCAACCCTTCTAAAGGCTCATAAGGGCTATGACATTTGTTGGGTCGAAGTCTTGGCTATGTTAAACATTGATTAGAAAATATTTATTCATTATTCATGTAGAATTCAATCTATCCAACTGCAAATAATACAAAACGCTGCAGGCATTTATACAGATTTATCTCATTGAATTTTGTATGGCTCAAATTATAATAAAATTGGTTTAATAAACAGAATTGAACTCGTGATGTTTTTCGGGTTCCATTGTGACACTTGTGCCGCGACAAAAAGCTAACGACTGGCACACTGAAATATCATGTGAGTCGGTGGACGAGTTTGTTGTTGGTGTCTATCTCATAAAAGTGCGCATTTCGGACTCGATCTCCCGTAAAGCCAAAGCAATAAATCGTCGATAATGTAGCCACCGAATTAGTATTATTTATTTGCTCTGCAAACAATAGCCATTGGGACAGGGGAGCGGAGGCAGCAGAGCGAACCCGACAATCAGCAGCAGCGGCGAAGTGACGGAAACGAACAGTGAATAGTCCAAAGAGAGGAATACAGGCAATCCAGAGAGAGTAAGAGCAAGAGTGCAAGCAACAGGCCCGCTTACGCTTTCCAGAGAGTGAGTAGGCGATGCGCGAGAACAGTGCACACAGAAGAACGATGATCCAAAGCAGAAGAGATGAAAGTAACAACATGCTTGCGCGAGTCTGTTTTCACGTTCAGAATTATAAATTTATATTAAACGACTTGTTAGCTACCGAATCACAGTTGATCCACTGCACACTGTATATAAGCGAAAGAAGAATCGCCTCTCTATCCCGCCTCCTTCGTTCCGCGCTCTATCTTCGGATCGTGCTCGGCTTAGCAGCAAGCCCGAGCCGCTCTAATGTTCTCTCTCTCTGGCTTTCTGCTACGATTTGCTACGATAAAAGATTTTCTCAGTAGGCACGAATGCGTCGAATATTTGGTCCGCCTCGAACATGCCGGAGGGACGTACGACATGACGATAGATCCCTGCACTTGGGAGGCTCTGAGTAATGCGAAAGGCATTCTTGGTTCTTGCCTTTTCCATCTTTTTGTATGGATTTCTTCCTCGATTATTGTGTACTTCCTTTGCCCTGTTTTCCCCTTATGGAATCAGCTTAAACACCCCCTAATACACCTTAGTTTAAGCCACAAAAAAAGCAAAATCTAAAGCGAAAAAAGGGAATGTCCAATTGCTTTGCCTAGTTGGGGAACGATTCAATTATTTTTACACATGCTAATTGAATGGCAACCAATCTATGCTAATACACATATTATTTATGCATTTTTCCTCCAAAAATTTGTTTTTCCACACATTTTCATCGAATTTTTTTGCGTTGTTTTTGTTGTACATTTTCCAGACGAAAACCATAAAAGTTCCTCTGTCGCATGGCGTTGCCGCTTTTGCCATTTCAATTTGTTTGTTGGTTTCGCTTCTCTTTTTTTGCTTCTCCATTTGTATACCCTGTACGATGTGGGAGGTCTTATTATTTTGATAAGATATTTGCGACAGCGAGAAGATAAGGGATAACGAGACATGGACGTCTGCCTGTCTCTTTCGAGCTGCAAGGGATGGACAGTCGATAGTTTTCGAGGCTTTAGTTTCTCAGGGACTCCCAGTACATCCATTGACTGCTCTTTCTTTCTTGGAATCACTTTTAGAGGCATTCCAATAATTAAATTAAATTATTTAATAATAATACGACGAGTTTTATGGTAGATAAAGCTTTTCAGTTGATTATTAGTTTAATTTATAATTATTAATTTTATTTTTTAATATTAGGACAATTATTATTGGAAGACAATTTGATGAATATTTGGAACATATAGATATTTAAGGACAGATATTTAAAAGTATCGCATTAGTTAGAATTATAGAAAGAATGGTGTCCCTTCTTGTCTCAAAAAATCTCTAAGGAAACCCAAAAGTGGGAGTGCCTATGGCTCTCAAGAAGGAGTTTGATTTTTCCCAGAGCTATTTTCCATCAATCCTCTGTCTCTCTCTCTGGATGGTTCTTTGTTGCTTTGAGTATCTACCTTTCTCCTGGTAGCTCTAAGAAGCGTATCCACATCTTCGTCAAAAGTAAAATTTACATTTCTAGGGGATTTACATTTTTCGTTTTTGTGCAGAAATTTCACAAAACTAATTGTATGTAAATATGTCAAATGTATGTCGTCGACACCTGCATTTGTATGGGTGCATGGATGTGTTTGTATCTGTGTTTGTATTGCATATTGACAATTTCATAAATGCGGTAACATTTTCAATTAAATATGCGCAACTCTCGCAAGCACAGCTGCACAAATCGTGAGAGAGAGAGAGAGAGAGAGAGACCCAGTCATGTAGATGGATTTTTGTGCCACGCCCACACAGGAAAGGCCCACTCGCCCCTTCCGCTCGTCTCTGCCCAGACATAGAGGAGATACACCCCATCAATCCTTGGGAAAAGTCGATTGATATGTACACACACATGTGTGTGTGTGTGTGTGTGTGTGTGTTAGTGTGTGTGCAGGTGTGCAGCTTTTTGGTCGGTTACAAATTGCAAATCAATCAATAAATAATTGAAATGAAAATCATTTTGCTGGTTTCAACTTATCTTCTTCAGCTTTTCCTCCCACAACACACCGGGAAAAACCCCACCCCACCCCACCCCCCACAAACACCCTAACGCCATGCGTTTCGCTTCGTTTCGACTGCGTATGCAAATGGGCCAAAAATTGTGTACATCTATCACTGGGATCGCATCAGAGAACCCAAATCGAAATCGTACCGACGGACAGACAGAGGAGAGGGAGATTGGGAGAGAGAGAGAGGAAGAAATGTGTAAGAGAGAGAATGGCAAAAGCTGCCATGAGTCCTTCGCCAGGTGTTTGAGATTAGTAATGGACAAAAACTGAAAGAAAGTTTCACCTTTTTATACCCGATACTCAAAATGAATATTGGGGTATATTAGATTTGTGGTAAAAGTGGATGTGTGTAACGTCCAGAAGGAATCGTTTCCGACCCCATAAAGTATATATATTCTTGATCAGCATCAATAGCCGAGTCGATTGAGCCATGTCTGTCTGTCCGTCTGTCCGTCTGTCCGTCTGTCCGTCCGTCCGTCTGTCCGTCCCCTTCAGCGCCTAATGCTCAAAGACTATAAGAGCTAGAGCAACGATGTTTTGGATCCAGACTTCTGTGATATGTCACTGCTACAAAAATATTTCAAAACTTTGCCCCGCCCACTTCCGCTCCCACAAAGGGCGAAAATCTGTGGCATCCACAATTTTAAAGATACGAGAAAACAAAAAACGCAGAATCGTAGAAGATGACTATATCTTCTAGAGTGCAAAATCTGAACCAGATCGTATAATTATTACAGCCAGAATCACGAAAACAATTTCACTCTTTCTCGCTCTGTCTCACTCTAACACACAGGTTTCATGGTCGGTTTTGCCAATTGCTAAATATGAGTTCAAGGATCTCAGAACCTATAAAAGCCAGAGCAACCAAATTTGGTATCCACACTCCTGTGATATCGGACCTTGACCGTTTCATGTCCAAATTTCGCCACACCCCCTTCCGCCCCCGCAAAGGACGAAAATCTGAGGCAACCACAAATCTCAGAGACTATTAAGGCTAGAGTAACCAAATTTGGTACACACACTCCTTTAAGATGTCACTATAAAACGTATATCTCAGAATTTCGCCCCACCCCCATCCGCCCCCACAAAGTACGAAAATCTGTTGCATCCACAATATTGCAGATTTGAGAAAACTAAAAACGCAGAATCATAGATAATGACCATATCTATTAGATTGCTGAATCTGGATCAGATCAGATCATTTTTATAGCCAAAAGGAACAAATCAATTTGCAGTGGCTACGCAGCGCCCGACGTCACGCTCAGACTGATTTTCTGTCTCTCTCGCACGCACTCTTTGTCGTGTCGTTAAATATTAGCGGCGTCTGTCGGAGGAGAGCCATACTGACTTAGTATCGGGTATAACCGTAGAGTTGCGGTGTCCGCAGCAACTCACAACGTTCCCCCTCGTCTTTTTTCAAAAAGATAAATCACATGGTAATTTTCTATAAATTGGTTTTCTTTGGGACTTCAGCCCCAAAGAAATTCAGAAGAAATTCTTCTGATGGATTTGGAGGAATTTTCTAAAGCTCTAAGGGTAGGCATTACTTACTATAGTTTCTCTGAGATTTCAAAATTAAAAAAAGAACTACAGAGGTGCTCTCATAACTCTTATGAGAATTTCAGAAGAGTTCTTTGATACCTTTTTTTTCTATGTTATTCCCTTATTTTTGTGATTTTTAACTAGAAAAAATTAGTTCCTAGGAATTGTTATCCCTAAGAAATTTAGTAATGAATCAACAAGAATTCCCGAAGATCAAGACTTTTCTAAGGTTTCAGTAAAATGGTAATAAAATATGAAATAATCCTATAGATTATCTCTCCTTTGGGAGCCCTAAAAAGATTTTAATAATATTGTATTTATTTGAAGCTAAAATCTCAATGACATTCCTTTAAGATTTTTGTGATCTTAAGCTAGAAAAAATTAATTCGAAAAAATGTAAGGATAAATCAACAAGAATTCCCAAAGAACAAGACTCTTCTGAGTTGCAGTAAAATGGGAAATAAAATATGATATAATCCTACAGAGATATAGGAGTATTATCTCTCCTTTGGGAGCCCTAAAAATATTTATTTATATTTATTCTCGCTTTGACATTACCTAATGATTTTAATAATTTTAAGTTAGACAAAAATAATTCCTAAAAAATGTTGGGATAAATCAACAAGAATTCCCGAAGATCAAGACTCTTCTAGGGTTGCAGTAAAATGGGAGCCCTAAAAAGATTTAAATAATATTTTACTTAAATAGTTTTAATCCTTTTACTTTTATTCAGAACACAACATTTCATGGCTCCAAATTACCACCTTTCCAACAAACTTTGAACTTTATTCTGCTTATGAGGCTTTTTGAAATAAAAACAAAACGCTTTTGTATTAAATAAACAACAGACTGCTTCTCTTGCAGATTTTTCAGTGAAGAAACGACAAATAAAAGTCCATCAAATTACGAATTAAATGTCCATCTATCCACCCTTGTCTTTCTCGCCTCTAAACTCACTTTTTGTGTCAACTATTATTGTGCTTATATATTCAA